GAATGTCATCCGACTGGGGCGGGAATGAATCCCTGACACGGCCACCAGTGAGCCTCAAAAACCACTAACAACGCTCAGCGAAGAAGCTAGACACAAAGGTCTGTGTCATGGGATCCTGTTGATAGGAAACACCCTGAACAGGGAGATCCGTATAGACACTAGATGAGTGGTTGCCCGAGGCTGGGGCAAAAGGGGAGTGACCACTGATGGGGACAGGTTTCTGGAGTGATGAGAACCTTCTGGAATTAGGAGTGGCAGTTGCTCGACCTTGTGACTGCCCTTGAGGACAGAGTGGCCTGTGGGGCCCCCAACAGGCTCTCCAGCCCTCCCTGTCCAGCCACCCTGGCTCCAGGGTGGGGGCCACGTCCCTACTAGGAGGCTAGACCAGTTCTTTCTGCGTCTGTCACCCAGGACAAGGCCACCACCTTGGGGGCCAAGGGCCCTGCCTGGCTCCCAAGGCCGCCGCCCTGCCTCTTTTCAGGGGTCCACACACCATCTGCAGGATGCTCGGGCTCCCCAGCCCCAGGTGTACAGAGCAGAGGGGGTGGCGACTGTCCTGATCTTGTCCTGTCCTAGTTGCACCAGCCTGACTGTGATGGAGGGAAAGGTGGTGACCGGCACATTGCCTGTGTCTGTGAGGAAGCACAGCTCGTGTGCTGATATGTGTGTGTGTGTGTGTGTGCATGTGTGCACTGCCCCAGCCCCCGCCTTCCCCTGGGGGCAGGGAGCTGTCTTGTGTGCTGGATTCCACTCTTAACCCAGAGCCGGGAGGCGGGTGTTTAATGAGGTTACCGGGAATACCAGGAATTTTTAAACTCCAGTGCTAAAGGGTGTGCAGCCGGAGGTGACTCACCCCTGACCTGGCGGCCTCCTCACAGGGTAAACACTGGGTGGTGGGGCTGAGGAGGGCGTCGCCTGGTTCTCAGGTGCCTGTCTGGGTGTCTGACATGGTTCTCTCCGGGTGAAGCCCCGTGGCATCCGTGTGTGCCCTTCTCCTGTCTCTGCTCCCAACGGGCCACTCTTGAACCCTCCTCAGTGCCAGGGTGGTCTGCCCACTGCCCCCCCGCGGCACCCGGGGGCCTGGCCACCTGCCCACCACCCCCCATGTTCACACGTCCCGGGACCCTGGCCATCCCACCAGGGGGCAGCGCTTGCGCTGGTTACCCTGCTCACCGCTGTTTGCTCTGGTGAGGCCAGGTCTGCGCTGCTATCTTAAACCTGGTTTTTTGAGTTCAGGGCCCACCTGCACTGTAGACCCGGACCTGGATTCCCAAACAGGCCTGGTTCAAAGCCCGCAGCCGCCTCCTCCCTGGGCAGGGTGGGCCTGCGAAGGTGTGCCCCCTCGTGCTGTCCTTTGAGCTCGGAGAATCGGGGAGGTGCACGGAACCCAGGGACAGGATGTGGCTCTGGCTGGCCGCCTGGCTCCAAGGACCCAGAAGGCACTTGGGTAAAAAAGGACCGGTGAGTGTCCATGCTGATGCCTGAGGCTCCCTGCTTTCCTGGGGAGCCGAGTTTGGGACACAGCCTCATCCCTGGATGGGGTGACCATCCCCTGCAGCCGGCCCAGTGCCCCCACGGTGCTCTGGGTCCACCGCCCGATGGCTGGCACACACATAACCACCACCTTGCAGATGTGTTCACGGGACTTACTACAGCGGCTTGTAAAACGCACTGTGTAAGTTCCCCATGTGGACTGGCTTGTGCAACCACTGGCTTGCAGCTCAGAGCCATTTGCCCGTTCCCCACATGTACCCCCGGGACAGGGGGATCTCTGGCGAGCAGAGGCAATGGGGTGTGTTCCAGTACATTGATGGAGCCTGGGGTGTAGAGGCCAGAATCCTCCAGAATCTCCACATACTCATCTTAGCAACAAAAATTCCTTTTTTTAAAGGATTTGCTGTTTGTTGTTGTTTTTTGCCGTTTTTCAAACATTCTTGAATTGGTTGTGTATGGCCTTTTAAGGAAATACGTGTTTTCAGTTTGAGTCAGATGTTAACTTATGATTCTGGGGCCTCAAGTATGTCCAGCAGTGCCACTTGCTTTGTCTTATTTATGGACTTCTTGTCACTTGAGAGAGCCCTTGGGGCCCGTGGGTGACCTTTGGGTCCGGACTTCGGTGCACACTGTTCTTGACACAGTTCAGCATCCCCACGGAGCAGATCAGATCTGGGGGGCGGAGGGGGGCTCACCCCGCTCGGGAGCTGCAGGTCTGTGCCAGGTGGCTCAGGGTGGTGGCAGCCTGGCCTTGTCCCCTGGGCTGCCCACTTGTATTTGTCTCTGTGGTTCCTTTTTCAGCCAAGGATGGGGACCAGGAACCTTCCGTCCCCTGTTGTCCTTGGCCAGTGGAGAAGTGGATCAGGGCTCGGAGAGGATAATTGAGACTCGAGCCATATCCAGCTGGGACAGGTCGACCTCAGCTCAGCCCTGGGCGTGTGGTTGACCATCAACCATGCTGACCACGGGTGGCCACAGTGGAGGCGGCACCTTCTTGTCCCCAGGCACCCTGCGCCAGACAGCACCGTCAGGCACAAAGTCAGGCTGCTCTTTGGACCCTGAGGGAAGTGACTTCCAGGGACTCCTGATCCCTAACGGGTGTCGCCTGTGCCCTGGTCCCAGTGCTGGCGTCCTGGTGACTCAGTAACATTTATCATCTTGGGTTGGGGGTTGTGTCCCAGGAGCTCCGGGGTCTGCCCCTGTTCTGGCACCTCCCCACCCCGTCCTCTCATTCCCTGCTCGTGGGTGAGTGTGGTCCTGGAGGCAGATCCTGTGTGGCCCAGCCCTGGTCCCTCTGGTCCCTTAGCTTCCTGGAGCTCCGTATCTACATGAACATCGCCCTGGGGTGCTGCTGGGAGAGAGAAGGGAGACGGAGGCTCACGCACACAGCCACAAGTATGCCCACTCCACTCCCACACGCAACATGGCCACACACGCTCACACCCACTCTCTCTGCATTCATGCAGGCACTCACTCCCACACACGCTCACACACACACACCCTGTGTACCCGCATGCACACGCCTTACCCCACTCACACCCACACAGACACTGCGTTCACACCCACGTGCTTGCTCACGCTCGTGCTCTGTGGCACAGGCCCTGCCCGCGAGCACCCTTCGTGGCCTCAGGCTGGGCCTGGGCTTCTTCCTCTCTCCACAGCAGCCGTGCACAGCCTTCTGCCTTTGGTGCCAGCCTGGGGTCTGTGTTTCCTCACGTGCTGCCTGGGAGGGGGTCTCCCCTCCACCGGCACAAGCAGCAGGCTGGACATTTAGCCCAGGGCCTGGTAAGCTCCAGCCATGTGTGATCCGACCTTATGACCAAGGGGACCTGCCAACATGCTTGTGTCTCCCTTTTTGACTGCACCTCACAGCTTGCAGGATCTTCGTTCCCAGATTAGGGATTGAACCTGTGCCCTCAGCAGTAAGATCACTGAGTCCTAACCACTAGACCACCAGGAAAACCACCCCCCCCCCAATGTCTCCTGATGGGGACATGTGGTTGGCTTTGCCTGTTCCCTAGTACATGACGGCTCCTCCCAGCTGCCAGATGACCCTGGGGCTCCTTCAGAGGTGCTCTTGTCTCTTCCTCCTCCCTCAACAGACATCCATGTGTCTGAGGCGAAACCAGTCTTTTGGGAACTCAATCTAGCAGCACCCTGAGAGGGAGAACTCAGAACTCAGGAGGCAGGCACCCAACGGCTGGAGAGGTTGCCCTTGCTCCAACAGCAGGGAGAGACCCTGGGAGGCAGGGCTCCAGGGCCCGCAGGGTGGAGGTGGGCACCGCAGCCGCCTAACAGCCCACTGACCTTGGGCAGCCTGCCCCAAGGATTGGTGGAGATCTGACCACATGTGGCCAGTGGTCACCATGCCCTGTGGTCATCAGGGCTGAGAGCAGCTGGTGGAATGGCCCGATGGCCAGGAGGAGCTGGCCTCCCCCAGATCCCGCCGTGCTTCTGGGAGGGAACATGACCCCGGGGATCACCTGCGTGCCATCCATGTGACCTTGGAGGGCAGACAGCGTCATCCCTTTAGGGCAGGAGCCACAGGGACTGTTCTGCTTTCTAGCAAGCCTCGTGGAGACCAGGGGTGCTCCTCATGGCTGCCCACCCAAAGAATTCTCAGGATCATGTGAATCTGAGTGGCCTGGCCATGAGGGGAGGGACATTCTGGTGTAAGCAGCACCTTCGGGACAGTTAGTCAGCAGGTCCCGAGGGCAAGGACAGGCCTTCCTCCATGTGGCCACAGTGTGTGGTCAGCGCCTGTTTAGCAAATACTTGCCAATGAAATGAATGCAGCCCACACTGCCCGTTCCAGACCCACTCTCTGCGGAGGAGGAAGTGAGCCATTTGTCCAGGGAGGTCCTTTGTGCTGACTTGGTGGGTGTGGGCGGTGGCCCTGAGGATCATTGGAGGCAGTTGCTGTGTGTGCCCCAGCCCGGAGCTTCTATACCATAGCGTTGATTTGGGGTGCTGGGTATTGGGGCTCTGCTGACCATAGCGTGTCTTGGGCCATGGGGTCCTTCCCTCCACAGTCACCCCCCCCCCCACACCATGTCCTAGGACATAAGGGCTGCTTATCGAGGCTACCGCCTCTGCCTGGGCCCAAGGTGGGTGGGCCAGTGGTAGTTGGCACCTGTGAGTGAGAGGAGATGCCGGTGTTCGTGGGATCGCATGCAGGGTTGAAACCTGCAAAAGTAGGGCCTCTCATCCGACCTCTGCCATAAACCTCAGCTCCAATGCAGACATCCCCAAGCCCCCAGAGACACCAAGCAACTGTGCATCCTTGTTGTTCTAGAATTTCCCATGTCCTCTGGGTAGCATCACCTGGAGAGGCACCTCTCCCCCTGCCCCCAGTGCACCCCTGCCTGCCTGCCAGTTCCCAGACCATGGCAACCCCAGTGCCTGGCCCGCCGGTGCACAATCCCCAGCTGTGGAAGGGTGATGGGGTAGTGATTCTGAGGCTCTCACTTCCCTTCTGCTTTTCTCTCCGGCCATCTGCCTTCCAGGGGATGTTCTCTTCCAGATGGCTGAAGTCCACAGGCAGATTCAGAATCAGCTGGAAGAAATGGTGAGTCGCAGCCTCCCAGGGAGGCCGGGGGAGGCAAGGGCAGCTGCAGGTGGGCAGGCGCTGTCGAAGGGGAGAGGAGGAGGCGAGCATGTGCTTCTCCGTGCATCCCCTAGGGAGGCCTGTGCCGCCCGGTGATCACGCTCGGGTCTGGGGCATACCTAGGGCCCACGACAGAAGTCACATATGAAGGAGGTGACCATTGTGGGGCCTAGGGGTGTACAGAAGGACCTGGGAGAACAGGGCACAGGCCAGATGGGGTCTTACACTCAGCTGGCCACAAAGGCCAGGCTCCAGTTCAGCACTCTCTCCTGGGGCCGCCTGGTTCCACCAGGGTCATTGGCTCACAGGTCAGACAAGCTCCTCTCTTCCATGGGGGTTCCCAGCGTCCTGGGCACCCTTGTCTTGGTGACCGGCCCCCTCTCCCATTCGGCTCCTCCCTCAGGCTGTACGTCAGCGCTGACCTTTGTTTTCTCTCCATACCCAGCTGAAGTCTTTTCACAACGAGCTGCTCACACAGCTGGAGCAGAAGGTGGAGCTGGACTCCAGGTACCTGAGTGTAAGTAGCCCACCTGTACCTGCTGGTCCACCTGCCCTGCTCAGCCTCCATGTGAACACTTCCCTTGGTCCAAGGGGTTTTCAGCTTCCCGTGAGCTCTGCATCCTGTGGTTTCCTGCAGCTCCTCTGACATTCGTGCCTCTTTGAGACTACCCTTGGGTGGACTCCTGCATAGGATGCCCCATGTGCCCTGATCCTCTGCCCATGCCTCTCAGCTGCTCTTAGTAACAACAATGATGTGCAGCGGCCATCGTGTGGAACCTGCACGAACTCTTCTGACCTGCTGTCATGAGTTTCCTTGTCCTGTCCCCTCTCCCAGGTCGACCAGAAGGGCGAGGGGCCAGACTGCCAGTGTTCATTACACGAATTCACACTCTTCCAGCCCTGGGGTGGGAGAGGAGGCCCAGCTGGTGGTCCCAGCCCTGATCTTTATCTCCAGGGTGCGCAGAGCTGAGGCCTCAGGTTTGCAGCTGCACAAGTGCTGCCATCCATGGGCTCGGGCCACTGTGGCCCTGTGGGAGTGGGAGAGTGAGAGGGGTACACTGGCTCGTTGCCCACATTGTTTTGGCATTCATTTCTCAGGCTGCGCTGAAGAAATACCAGACGGAGCAGAGGAGCAAAGGTGATGCACTGGACAAGTGCCAAGCTGAGCTGAAGAAACTCCGCAAAAAGAGCCAAGGGAGCAAAAACCCCCAGAAATACTCGGACAAGGAGCTGCAGGTAGGACTTGGCTGTGTGTGCCAGGCGCTCTGCCTGCAGGGACACGCCGGAGGGCTCAGGCCCCTGTTACGGTGTCAGGACTCTTGGTCCTTTCAAAGAGCAATGAAGGGCAGGCCCTCCTGATGGATCAGACCAAGGCTCCACTCTCCTGGGGGATTTCCGGTGGGGGTGCCCTACATCCCAGAGCTGGCAGGACGGCAGCCCTGTCCTGCAGCCTCAATGGGTGCCATGGCTCTCTGCCAAAGGAGCAGAACCCACAGGGAACCTTCCCGCCTCAGAGAGAGACCTCAGACTGCTACTCCGATTGAGTCACGAATGCCCATGCCTAGCGTGGGCCCAGAGCCTCCAGCAGGCAGACGCTGGCCGGTTCAGCATCTCGGGGGCCCTGCGTTATGAGGCAGATGGTGTTGCAGGACACGGGAGGGGCAGCCCTGGTTGCAGGCATTGTGTGCTGGGGTGGGGGCGAGGAATCAGGACAACGCGGCCTGTGACAGGCATGGCCCCAATACACCTGACTCACCAGAACCCCGCCGCCAATTGACATAGATTGGGCCCAGACGCTGCTCTCCAAGGTCATGCGTCTGAGGAGGAGAAACAGGACAGCCACCCCCCTGACCTGGTCAGCAGTGGAAGCTTCCCCTGGACACAGGCATGGGGTGACCTCTGGGGTGCACCCCTCTGCCCCTAAAGCCCTGCTCTTCCTGCCGGCCATCAGGGCAGCAAGTCTGGGGGCACCACATACACCATCGGGGCCTCCCTGCATGGCATGCCCCCTGGTGCCAACACCACTGCCCTCAAGCGCCTCTGGAGCCCTCCAGGGCCACGAGGCTGGTCCTGGCCACTTGAGTAAGGCGGGGACAAGCAGGCGCCCTGCTCCCCTGGAGTGGTCCGGCATCTGCGCCCTCTGCGCCTGGGGCTCCCTATGGGGAAGATGGGCAGGGGGCGCCAGCTAAGTACCACAACCCGCCATGCGGGAAGCAGCCACTCCTGCAGGGGGGCGGGCTTCTGCAGCCCCTTCCTCAGGAGTTTCTCACCGAGTTGCAGTAATAACCCAGCTCCCGCCTCTCAGTGTCTTTCACTCTCCCAAGCCCACCTCCACTGCTCTTTTCTACCTGCCCCTTAGCCTCCTGAGGGTGCTATTGCAGTGTTAATGACCTCAGTTATTCTAGTCAGGGGACGGGTAGGGCTGCGTTCCGCCCTGTCCCTCCCGGCGTCCAGCACAGGCTGCTCGCGTGGTGATAGGCAGTATGTGATGTTGTTCCAGTTGTCCTCTAAGGGCGGGAAGCAGAGCGGCAGTCCAACAAGTGTTTCTTGTTCCCCGATGACGCTGAAACTGAGAGGCCAGGCTGGGGGTCCTCAGAGTCCCTCACCCCGTGTCGTGAGGCAGGGGGCGGGCGCTTGGTGTGCTCTGAGCCGGTGGAAGGCATGTGGCTGCCTGTCCTATGGATGGTTCTGATCTGTCTGGTGGCCTTGTGGGGATGCCCAGCCCACCCAGGCATCTGAGGGCCCCTCAGCACCTGAGGCCCTTCTTTCTGATTCTTGAAATCTTTGCAGACCTGACCCAGGAGCCAGGGTCTGATGTCTGCTTTGAGGTGTGGCTGCTGGGGCCTGGGAGGGCCCCGGAACCTTCTGGTGTGACAGCCCTCCTCTCCCCACTGTTTCCCCCAGAGGAAGTGCCTGGCTGGCAGGGCAGGTGTGCTGAGTTTGCCCGGCCCTTCACCTTAACCAAGGTCCTGCGAGTCACAGGAAATGGCTTGTTAAAGATTCTTTTACTGGGGGAGAGCAGAACTCTGCTCTCCCCGTCTTGTTTCTTAGAATGCCCCTCCCCCTCCAGGGCTCCTTTTCAGGCCACCCAGTAGCAGATCAGCCATGGGGGCAGCTCCGTCCATCCAGACGGTAGTTCATGGCCCTGCCCTGGAGAGCCCGGCCTCACCTGGACTGCAGTAGACCTAGCCGCTAGACCTGCTTGCTGCAAGCAGGTGTCTTTGTGCACCGAGTGGGGGTGGATTCCGGACTGAGGACCCCTGGGAGGTGGGGAAGGACCCCAGGCACCGGCAACCCCCTGCTCCCTCGGAGCCTCTCTGTGTCCCCAGAGTCCCAGGGTGCAAGACCCTGTGGACCTTCACCGGGGTCTGGGCCGTGTATGGCCCTGTGAGCAGTGTGTGCAGATGGGGGTGGTCCCAGGCCCCATGCTGGCACAGGGGCCCCACCTGGGCATCCCCGAGCCACAGCCTGGGCTGACCTGAGCTGTGACAGCCCTTGGCAGAGGAGATGGGACCCCCAGGCTGATGGAGCCCCTGTGGCTCTGGTGCGGCCCAGGGCTCCCACAGGCGGGTGGCTCATGCTCCCAAGACCGGTGGACTTGCCTGTGTCAATCCCCGGGGTCACCTGTGAGCCTTCTGGAGCCCCTGGCTCACGTGTTCCGCTTCTGACTAGGGCTCAGTGTGGACAGGACACTCAGCAGGGAGGGTAGAGAGGCTTTCGGCACCTGCCAGGCACAGGTCGACCCACAGAGCAGCCACACGCCTCCCCACGGCGCCTCTACTGCCGCGTGGCCCGTCTGCACTGGGCGCTGAGGTGGGGCTGTGCCCGCGGGTCACGCTCCAGGGTGGTGCAGGGGGAGACTGACCACCAGTCAGTCTGTGACGGGTTCCCCATGAGGGGGGCTGGGTCAGAGCTGGCCAGCTTCAGGAACTGCTGGTAATTGAGACTGTGTTTTGGGATTTCCATGAAGAGAACTGATTTTAGGTCAGGAAATAGGCACTTAGAGGCATTTGGGGCGCAAACTAGGACGCAGGCTTCTTTCTAGAAGTAGTGAGCACACCACGTGCTGACCATGTGGCACGGTCACGCTCCACACCTCTGGTCACCGTGGTGCTCACAGGCACTGACGGAGCACCACAGGGGGTGGTCAGTGGAGGACACACCGTGTGTCTGACAGTGTGGTCACAGGTCTCGTCTGGCATCCTGTCTCTGGCCCGGGGTTCTTCTCCCCAGGCATGGGTGCATAGCTGTGTTGTAGCCTGACCGTCAGGTTCTCCAAGCTTCAAGGTGATTCTGATGGGCAGCTGACCCCCCGGCTGGTCGGCGGTCTCTGGGGCTTCTGACAGAAGGGTCTGGGCTGGGGTGTGGCTGTGCCATGAGCCATCCCAGGTGGAGCACTTTGGGAAGGTGAGCTGGCCAGGCTCTGGGTGCACGTCCCCCTTACAGATCCTGCAGGACTGGCCAAGGATTTCTTCCATTTCTGTTTCCCTCGGCCCACCCCCAGCCCAGCTCCGATTAGGTAGGAGTCCTGGTCCTCCGAGGGGCATCACGACTGTTAGAAAACCCAGCAGTCATCCTGCCTTTGGGATTCACATTGGTGTGTGGCGTGTGACCTGCAGGGATCATGGGGACACAGCATGTCCTTCCTGCCCATGTGCAGGCTCTGAGGGAAGGGCCGCTAAGACCGCAAGAAGCGGTGGAGCCCAGGAAGAGAAGGCTGGAGGCAGATGGGTGGGCATAGATGTGGGGCAGGGTCACCCCCAGTATGGGCCAGACCGGCTTCCTGAGTGCAGCGGGCCAGGGCCTTTGACCATTCCTGCCAGCCGAGCACCAGGTCCTTGGCAGCCTGGTCGTTGGAGCTGCTGACCCTGGCAGGCTCCTGCTGTCAGGAGGGCAGATGGCCCAGCCACCCCAGCCCACCCACCCACCTGAGGTTGGGGTTGCCGGGGGACCCAGAGGTGCTGGGAGCCCCACTTGCGTCCTGAGCTGTCCTCTGCCCTCCCTCTCTGAGATGCCGAGAGTGGGGCCCCGGGTGTTCTGGCTGCGGGGTGTGGGTTGTCGCCGGGGCCTGTGTTGACTGAAGCAGGCGGTTCTGGCAGTCGGCTCCCCCTCCCCGGGCTCCCTTGTTCCAGGAGGCACATCCAGATTGCGGTCTGAGAAAGGGGAGAGATTCATTCTATTTAAAGGGATGTGTAATTAACAAAGCAAAAACAAAATAACCATAATTTAGATCTTCAAAAAAGATAATGGCAGAGGCTGGTCCCGATAACACGTGAGGTTTGATGGCAGTGGTTTAAGTGTCTGCTGTTCTCATTTTAAAGAGCTCTTCAGTGCAAAAGGCATCTATGGACAAGACATCCCAGCAGTGGGACGTCTTCTTTCCTTGGAGTATAAGCAGAGGTCCTCTGGGTAAAAGCAACTGAAAAGCCAAGTATCCTCTTAGGGCTTCTGTGTCCAGAGATGGCATCAGCTGCTCAGTCCTCTGGGGGACTTTGCCCCCCCACCCCCCGCCGCCCCGTACCTACTCCCAATCCCCCAGATCAAGCCCCCCAGTGGGCTACCTAGCTGGATAACACCATGAGAAATCTGGAGCGTCTTCTGCTTTCAGAGCTGGGAGGACTTTGGCGGCAGTGCCAGGCACATGGCACCTGTCTTTTTGCACTGAGAGGCGGACACTTAATAAATGTGGTACGGGAAAAGCGTTTTACTGGGCAGAACACGTCTAGAGTGTTATTTAGACGCGTAATCATTACAGCAGATACTAGGCGTGTTGTGTTTGTCTCTTTCCTGCTGAGTCTTTGAAATTGGGTGTGAATTCCGTACCTGCAAAACCTCTGGGGTCACGTGAGGAGGGGCTGCCGTTTCGGGTGGTGACGTTCTGGCTCAGCCCCTGAGGAACCTGAGACCCGAAGGCACCAGAGACTTGGCCACCCAGCAGGTGGGCACAGGAGCCAGGCTCCGCTCTCCTCCAGGTCCCAGGGCAGCCCAGCAGACCCCAGACCCAGGTGGCGTGGATCCCTGAAGCCCCCAGGCTCCCCAGCAGCCACCGAAGGCCTTGGCTCAGGGTGCTTGCAAATTACTAAGACCCGTCCCCTTGGGCCCCAAGGCCTTTGTCAGCGTGTCCAGCCCACTGGTGTGGACAGAAGTGGCCCCACATTCTCTCCTGGGGTCTGGGCACGGGGATGCTGTGGACACGCCCCTCCCAGCATATTCTTGCTGGACTCCAGTGGGTAAGTGCACCGGACAGGGCATGGGCAGTGGGATCTGTTTGGTCACGGAACCCTTTGCCAATCTAGTGATGGTTGTGGGCCCTTTCTCGGGAAAATGGGCAGCCCGGGCCCCCAGATCTGTGTCTCCTGCGAGGGGCACTGTGCTCTCTGCCTGAGAATGTGCCCACAGCATATTCCCTGTACTGCTGACTGCTGGCTTTTCCGCCTGCTGGGCTACAGGAAGGAGGGCGCACTTACCCTCGGCTCAGCCTTGGTCCCCAGCCCTGCTCGGAGTTTTTGTGCTTAGAGATTCTTAATCCGCTGAACCCAAGGCTGGCTGTCCTGTTCTTGGCCTGGGTGCAGGGTGCATCAGACCAGAGAGGGACACAGGCCTGGTCAGCGGGCTCCAGGGAAGCCACTGGCTGCCCCCAGAACGTACCCAGTGACTGGATGCAGCTGGAGGCATCCCATTCTGGCTGTTCCTTCCTGTCCATCACAGCTGCCTGGGGTCCTGCCTTGTCTCCTTGGAGTGATGGTTATGGACAGTGACAGCTGAGGGCCACGGATCCCACTGTCACTCCCCAGCTGCAGCGGTTAGGCATCGCGTGCCGGTTCTGAGAAATTTGGAGAAACGTGGGAAAGCTGGGTGGCCTATCGGGTGAGGGAGACCAGAGCCCCGGGTGTTTTCTAGAGCGCCCCTCCCCCGCTCTGAGTCACCGGCCTGCTCCGCAGAGGAGACGTATGTCCTGATCACTTTTGTCTTCTCGGATTACAGGGCTGTTCAGCCCAGGGTGACTAAGTGGGAGCGTTCCGTGGGTCTTAAATGCTTTCAGCTGGGTGTTTCTATAGTGCCGTCACCATAGCACCCGCTAAGCCAGGAGCAGGGGTAGGGGGTGGGGAGGCAGGACGCTGGGAGCCTGGCCACGGTGCCCGCCTGCGGTGGGGACAGGCTCAGACCATTTTCTTTGGCCTGTTTGGAACTCCTCAGGGCTGTCGGGTGAGGCTCGTTCGGTCCCAGAGAATGCAGGCACTCCTGCATATTTGGGAATGTCCCCTGCCCACAGCGGCCAGTGTGGCCTGGGGCGTCCTCCTCTCCCACCCCTTCAGAAGCAAAGCTCCTCACTTGGCCTGGATTTCTAGGGTCTGCCCTTCAAAGTGGTGGCCTCTCTGCAAGGAGGCAGCGCTGGGGAAGGAGGTCAGGAGGGCCAGCAGTTATTCCTCGACAGAAGTGGCAGCCTGGGTCCTGGCCGGATGCGGGGTAAGGAGGAAAGGGCAGTTCTCCTGGGCCAGGCACCCCAGCCAAGGCGACGTCTCTCCTGCCCCGTCCTGGGCAGGTGTGGTCCTGGAAAGACACTGCATGACTCCAGGAGCCCCCGGGTCCCTGCCTGAGACCTGAGCTGCTTCTGGCTGTTCTGGGGGCTCAGTTGAGTAAATGGAAATCTTAAAAATAAACCGCCGCTTCCTCCCCCGGCACGGGAGGCTGCCAGGCAGCTAATGAGGCCAGCGCCCCGCGCCAGCTCGCCCAGAGCCGGTTTCTCTCCCCTCCAGGGAGTGGGAACATTGAGGTGAAAGACGTTACCGCAGCCTGAAAACCCAGAAACCGGCTGCAGGACAGACGGGGCCACCGGGCGGCGCTAGGAGGAGCCGTCCTCGGCAGCAGGCTCGGGGCGGGTGGACCCGGGGGGCCCGCGTCCTGGTTTACACCGCTGTCCTGGGGTAACCGCTCACGGAGGTGCCTTCCCCTACCCCCAGGGCCTCTCTTTAGGTGACCGTGGGTACCTCCTTTGGGCCTTCCTTCTTGAGGCTCTGTGCTGACTTCTTAGGGTCTCAGCCTCTCTTACACACCCACCCTGCCTCCCAGGCCTGCCTGGCACTGGAGCGGCCCCCCAGGAGGGCGGGAGGTGGTGACTCCAGGGACCAGCTGGCTGGGGCTTTTACTGGGGTTAAACCCCAAACTTCTCCTTCTAGAGCTTTGCAGAGACTCTAGAAGCCCCTTAGGGGGCTCTCGGGATCACAGCCAAGCCCAGGTGCGCCCGTGTCCTCGAGAACAGGCTGAGGGAGGCATCTTTGTTCAGGGCTGGTTGAAGCCTGCAAGGCCACACCGATGTTCCCCTGTCCCCCGGAGCGGGTAGGACAGCCACGGAGCAGAGTGGGCAGGGGCCCTCTGGGGGTTTCAGTCTAGTGCCGGGTGCTGCTTAGGTGATGGGGCGCGGGCAGCAGGGGCCTGCATCAGCGTCCCCATCTCTGAGCGAGCCCTGCCCCTTCCAGGCCCTTGTGTCCAGCGGGTGTTCCCACCCTCAGGCCTCTTGTCCACATGGGGGCTTTGGGGTGTGAGCCAGCCCCTTGGTGGGCGGCACCTGAGGGGTCCTTCCACACAGCACGGCCTTGCCCACAGTGGCACCCCACATCTGCAGACTCCCCTGCTTCCTGGAGGAGCCACTCTGCAGGCTGGAGGAGCAGAGGCTGGAGGTCTGGGTACGCACGTGTTTCATAATGTGGGGCTCAGGGCCGGGGGGTGGAAGCAGCCAGCAGGGCTGCCCTGAGGGCCTGTCCGCTCCTGCTCGGACTTTGTCCCCAGGCACACCTCGAGGCCCGGCCGGCCCTGCGGCTGCTCTGGATGACCAGGCGGACTCCTCCAGGGTGGGGGAGTGGGCTGGCCACGTGGAGGCCCATTTAAGCTGCTCTCTCAGGGCGAGGAGAGTGGGGTTCAGTGTTGAAGGCGGGGTGGTCTACAGGCACAGGGGAGCAGAGTCCCTGTATGGTGAGAGTGCTGGGCAGGCAGGCTCACGCTGGCAGAGCCTTGCGCTGGGGACAGCGCTGGGGACGACCCACGCCCAGCAGGCGTTTGCCCTCCAGCTGAGCGTCGCTACGAGGTGGGGGGCAGGGAAGGGCCAGGAACAGCCTGCATTGCGCCCACCCAGCTCTGCACCGCCCACCCACGCTGAGTCAGAGCTGTGGGGGGAGGTGGTGAGTCAGGCGGGGGAGGCCGCCCCCTCGTGGCCCGGGTCTGCCCCTGCCGGAGGATGGGGCTTGATTCTGTGAAGGCTGGTCCCCTGGCCAGCTGGGGCCATGGAAAGGGATCCCAGTTCAGGACAGAGGAGTCTGTGCCCCTTGTGGAGCACGGGGTGGGCGTGGAGGAGAGAGGGGAGACAGGGAGGGGACTGGAAGGGGCTCCTGCGTCCCAGAGGCGGGGCCGCACACAGAGGCGGAGGGCCCGCAGGCCTCCCTGGGACAGCTGTCCCCAGTCTTGCTGGGACTGTTACTGGAACTTTCCATCCTGCAGAACCAGAGCGTATTCTGGCGTGCCCTAGCATCAAACTGTGTGCTCTGCCCACCCCCGAGGGATCCGCGCGTGAACTAGTCATTCTCGAGCACACGGTGCCAGCTGAGCTGTCCTGGTCTTCCGACTGTCAGCATGGCTTTTATGGTTGGTGTCGGGGTCTGAGGGAGGTGCCACTCCAGCCTCACCAGGCAGTCTGCCACGTGGTCCCCACACGTGCAGCTGCCACTGCACCATGGGGCAGTGGCTCAGCAGGGTAGCCTCATGGCCAAAGTGAGTCACACAGCCAAGCGCCCACCCCAGTGGGCTGGTGGGGAGGTGTGCTCCCCCCCCACAGCCTGCGGGGCTGCTCAGAATGGGAAGTGATGGGGTGTTGTCCCGTTTCGGGCTCATGTGCCTCTCCCACCCACCCCCAGTACATCGACGCCATCGGCAACAAGCAGGGTGAGCTGGAGAGCTACGTGTCCGACGGTTACAAGACCGCCCTCACCGAGGAGAGGAGGAGGTTCTGCTTCCTGGTGGAGAAGCAGTGCGCCGTGGCCAAGAACTCTGCCGCCTACCACTCCAAGGTGGGTGCCTGCTCTGCGCGGGGCTGGGCCCTCATTGGCACACACTTGCCTCCCTGAGGAACACGGGGGCTTGCCCCACCTTGAGCTGTGATGAGGGAACACTGTGCTGAGCGTCCTGTGCATTTTCGATCTTCTCGGGGGAGAGTTCTGGAAGGACAGTTACCAGGTCAAGGTTGCAGATGTTTCACAACTCCCAGTAGAAATTGCCAGGTGCTTTTTTTGAGAGCAATTATACCAGTAACTCAAGCTTTCTTGGTGACTCTGACAGTTAAGAATCTGCCTGCAATGCAGGAGACCAGGGTTCAACCCCTGGGTCAGGATAATCCCTTGGAGAAGGGAATGACAACCCACTCCAGTGTTCTTGCCTAGAGAATTTCATGGACAGAGGAGCCTGGCGAGTTACAGTCCACGGGGTCGCAAAGAGTGAGACATGACTGAACAACTAACACTTCAACTTTCACTGTTCATATCGCTCCTCCAGGGAGCGAGCTCTTTTGGGAGGCACTGCAGTGCCAACCCCTCTAGAGGCTGGCGTAGCCCCCTGAGGCCAGCGAGACCCAGAGGACACATCTCCCCTGCAGAAACAGAGTTTCAGTGGGGTTTGTGTTCCCTGTAGTCCACAGGTAGGAACTGGAGTGGTGTCAGAGCTGTCAGCTAGAACATTCCAGAATGTTCTGAGAGTTTGGGTGTGGTATGGCAACCCAAGTCAACCAGGGAGGCCCTCATTTGTGTCCTTTTTCCATAAAGGGGTTCTGGGGGCAGCACTTCACATGTGTTTGATCTGACTCAGCTTCTGGTCCCCAGGCTGGGGCTGCCCAGGGGACAGATGCCCTCAGCCTCCACGGAGAGGCTTCTGCCTGCCTGGGCCTGCTGTTGCCACAGGTGCAGCGCAAGGACAGTGACGGGCCTTGTATCCTCTGCAGGGTCAGGGTGGGGCCACCCTGCCGCATGAGACTTTGTGTTCAGGTCCTGTGCCTGGAGGGCTGGCTGGCGGGGAGGCGCTTGCTAGAGCCGCAGTGCTCCGGCAGGGCCGCTGCAGCGCCCACGCGGCTCCAGCAGCCATGTGGCAGGCGTGTGCGCCCTCTGGCGGCCGTTGGGCCCTGTGGCTGCTCAGGGAGAGCGCGGACCCATCTGTGCTGGAAGGCAGGCAGGAAAGCCATCCTTTTCCAGGATGCCACCATTTCTGTCTCCTGCGGGGTTGCAGATCGTGTGTATGCGAGATGACTTCCCAAGAAACTGGACCCCAGCCCCCCAGGAGGTTTGAGAAAGGCACAGGCCCTGGGTCTGGGGCACCAGGGCGTGAAGGCAGGACCCCACCTGCTATTCCTACCAGCAGGCGGCCAGCATCTCCCTGGTGCCTGGGTTCAGGCCTGACAATGACAGGGCCATCATCTGAGTGGGAGCCCTGAGTTGTCCCTGTTGGTGCGGGTCCCTGCTGACCCAGTTTCTCAGCACCAGCCCAGACCCATCAACTATTCCTTTCAGTCATGGGCTGGATTGTAACTGTCTTCAGTTTTGGCCATTGCACTGGGAACGTGGCCGCTGACATGTAAACCAACTGACCTGGCTGTTTTCCAGTTAAACATTCCATGCAGATGAGCAGCCAGCCCTCATGCAGTGTCTGCTGGCCCCTGGTCTAAACCAGAAGGTGGTGGGGAGACCCTGGCCTGCCAAAGGGCTGTTTGTCCAGCATCCTCCAGTTTTCTTATGTGGGCACCACCTCCCTGCCCTAGACAGAGGCCAAAAGAAGTGGGAAGATAAGTGAGGAGAGATAGTGAGGGCTGGACAGACCCGTCCGAGGTCCTGGAGACCTTGACTGCCCTAAGCTCCACCCAGGGTGGGTCTGGGATCTGCATGGAAACAGTTGTTTCACGTGTTGCAGGTAGGGTAGCCCACTTTGGCTGAGGGCCAGGATGGGGGAGGCACAGCCGTTTCCAGGGCCCTACGTGTGTCCGTGCCATGGATTCGGGACCCCTGAATGGGCTGCAGGGGATCTCAGGCTAGTGTCTTGCTTTTGGCCACACCCGCATCCTGGGACCCTGCTCAGGCCTGTGGCTTCCTCGTGCTCTGTCAGGCCCTTGGCCCTCTGGTCCCCTGTGTCCTGGGCAGACCCTGGAACACTGGAGGGACAGCTGGGCTCGAGGGCCCTGGGTTGGGGGCCGGACCGCAGTTGGGCCCTGGGCAGCTCTGTTCCTTCCCCACAGCCCCCTCTCGGTCCCTGTGAGGTTTCCTGGCCCTCAAGTCTGCCTGAACAGCACTCTTCCTAGTACCTCATGGTTGGCCCACAAAGAGCCTATTCCTGTTCTGTGGCTGAACACGTGAGCCCCTGTTCTTTCAATTCCCTCAGGCCCCTGGGGAGGTCCCTCTCGGGTCAGGCCTTGGTTTGACCTCATTCTGAGGGGTCTTTCAGCTGGGGGGCTCGCTGTACCATATCCGGCCCCTTTCCCAGGTCTTAGAGGTGTCTCACCTGGTGGAGGCACCCCACCTGGCAAAGCGCAGCCCCAGCCAAGTGTGCCCACCTGGGGTCGGGTGTGTCTCTTCAGGAGCCACCTGGTGCCAGCTGGGAGCCGAGGGGCGGTGTCTGTGAGGTGGGCCAGAGGCCCTGGCCTCTCCCGGCCCTGCGGGGAGGCCCCCTGGCTGCGGGAGCCTGAGGCTGGCTCTCAACGCCCGCCCTGTTCGGCTGCTTCCGCTCCAGGGCAAGGAGCTGCTGGCACAGAAGCTGCCGCTATGGCAGAGGCCCTGGCCTCTCCCGGCCCTGCGGGGAGGCCCCCTGGCTGCGGGAGCCTGAGGCTGGCCCTCACGCCCGCCCTGTTCGGCTGCTTCCGCTCCAGGGCAAGGAGCTGCTGGCACAGAAGCTGCCGCTATGGCAGCAGGCCTGCGCCGACCCCAACAAGATCCCTGACCGCGCTGTGCAGCTGATGCAGCAGATGGGCAGCAGTAACGGCTCCATCCTACCCAGCGGCCTGTCCGCCTCCAAGTCCAACCTGGTCATCTCAGACCCCATTCCGGGGGCCAAGCCCCTGCCGGTGCCCCCCGAGCTGGCCCCATTTGTGGGGGTAAGTCCTTGCTTCGGAAAGTTCTGTGGGTGTGGGGAGGGTGGTTCCCCTTGCTGCCGGTGGTTGGCGCCCTGGGGCTCCCTAACAGGGGGCCTTGCCGGGCCCGGGCCCTCCTGCCACACCACACCCACGCCACCCCTTCTCGACAGCGGCTGTCTGCCCAGGAGAACGCACCCGTCATGAACGGCGTCTCGGGCCCAGACAGCGAGGACTACAACCCGTGGGCTGACCGCAAGGCCGCCCAGCCCAAGTCCACGTCTCCCCCACAGTCTCAGAGCAAGTTGAGCGACTCCTACTCCAACACGCTTCCTGTGCGCAAGAGCGTGGCGCCCAAGAACAGCTACGCCACCAGTAAGCGCTCCACTGGGGCCCTGGGTCCACCCAACCCGTAGCAGTCACGACATCCCCGAGGGGAGGCTGGGGGGAGCCCGGAGGCTCACGGGCACACGTGTGTGCAGCACCCTGGGGACCGCTTTGAGATTTCCGTCCTGGATCCTTGAGCTTGACTGGGCTTCTCTGCACAGTGAGTGTGGCAGGGCAGGGCGGTGCAGGGACGCCAGCAGCTCAGCCGGTGACAAGAGCCCGTGAGGGACACTGAGAGCACCTTGCTGACCGTGGGACCATTCCTGGCCCCACCTCCAGCCCGTCTGCCATGGCTGGCACTCCCCGTCCTGCAGCCCCACCAGTGGGCCTTGGCCTGTGAGGTCTCCCCATTAGCAGATGGGAAAGCTGAGGCCTCAGGCCCAGAGAACTGCCCCAGCTAAGGAGCGACAGGTCAGAGGCCGCATCCACACGCACCCCAGCTCCCAGCTCCTTCCGGAGTCTGAGCCAGACAGCCCTGGAGGCCTGGCAGTCATCCATCAGGGTGGACCGTCTACCTCCAGGCCCACCTGGGGGCTCCAAGTATCTCACAGTCAGACAGCCGAGCTGATGGGAGGATGACCGCGCCCTTCCCTGCTCAGGACGGAGATCCCCCTCACACCTGCCCTGTTGCTCCCGGCAGCCGAGAACAAGACCCTGCCGCGCTCGAGTTCCATGGCCGCTGGCCTGGAGCGCAACGGCCGCATGCGGGTGAAGGCCATTTTCTCCCACGCGGCCGGGGACAACAGCACCCTGCTAAGCTTCAAGGAGGGCGACCTCATCACCCTGCTGGTGCCCGAGGCCCGAGATGGCTGGCACTATGGAGAGAGCGAGAAGACCAAGATGTGAGTCTGGCGGGGGCATCAGCCTCCTGACCCGGGTCTCTGTGTCCTGGCTCTGGGTCCTCCTTCAGACCGATTATCCAGGCCCCACAGGTCCGTTAGGAGGGACAGATGTGGCCGCAGGCCCCCACCAGCCCTTGCTTCCACGTCCTTTGACTCAGCCTGGCACCCCACGTGTGCGCGTGGCACCCTCCCCGTGGCCCCGTGGTGGCTCCAGGCAGCGTCTCCTGTTGGTGCCATGGCTTTGCAGCCTTGTGGAACTGAGCCAGGAATCCCATCATGCTTGTTGAAGAAGTTAGAGCCCTGCTCAGTCCTGGCACCTTTGCTCACTCACAGCCTCACTCCCCTCCAGGGCAGGGTGGCTCAGAGCTGGATGGATGCCCAAGTGGGTCTCCTGGTCTTCCTGGAGTGTGTGCACACGCCCCCTCCTCAGATGCATGCAGCTGGGCTGGGGAGCGGGTGGGACCTGGGGCCAGAGGACGTGCTCTGACGGGGCCTCCTCTTCCAGGCGGGGCTGGTTTCCCTTCTCCTACACCCGAGTCCTGGACAGCGATGGAGGGGACAGGTTGCACATGAGGTGAGCATGCTGACGGGGCAGGTGGCTTGTAGCTCGGGGCAGGGGCTGCATGTTTAAGACCCTTGGGTCCAGGGGTGTGGAGGTGCTGTGAGGGGTGGAGGTGTCTGAGCTGTGTGGGGTGGGGGGTGCTCACCTGAGATGTCAGCAAGTGTGAACTTGGCTCCCCTACCACCCCCCCGGCAGGCCTCACACTCTGCTCTTAAGAGGGGGTGGGGTGGGGGCCAGGGGAGGCCCAGGCCCACCCAGGCAGCATCACTGCCGTCTTCCGTTCCACCCTCCTTGTGGGGCCAAGGGACACAGGGGGCCCAGGTGGGCCTGGCTGACCGCCCTGCCCACCCCCGCAGCCTGCAGCAGGGCAAGAGCAGCAGCACGGGTAACCTCCTGGACAAGGAGGACCTGGCCCTCCCGCCCCCCGACTACGGGACGTCCTCCCGGGCCTTCCCCACCCAGACGGCCGGCACCTTCAAGCAGAGGCCCTACAGCGTGGCCGTGCCCGCCTTCTCCCAGGTGAGTGCAGGGCCACAGCGGGGGCTGAAGGTGGGTGGGTTCAGGGTGCCTCCACCAGAAGGCCTGGTGCTCTGGGGGGTTTGGACTTGGCCGTCACACTGCTGCGGTGGCCTGCTCAGGGGTCACGGCCCAGCATCCTCTCTAGTCTCAGGGCTCCAGAGAAGCACAGAGGCCCCTCTGCCCACCCTCCCCTCAGCCTGGGGATCACTCTGGACGCCACCTCTTGGGAGGAGGAGCCCCTTCCCTGAGACCCAGGAGGCTCCTGCAGTTGTGGGTCTGAGTGCAGATGGGTGGCTGCCTTGTCTCTGCCTGAGACGTGACCAGAACCTTCTAGTTAGCATGTGTTTGGGCTCTTAGGAGGCAGGGCCAGGCATGTGTGGTCAGCCTACCTGGAGCCAGGGAGCCAGAGGGAGAAGATCAAGGCTTGGGTACCCGGCGGGTCCTCCCGTGCAGGGTTGTCTTCAGGTCAAGGTGGGACTGAGATATGAGTGTAGACGGTGCCCACAGCTCTGCCTGGGAAGCTTGTGGGTGGGAGAGGGCCCAGACTTCCAGGACGTTTGCTGTGGTGGCATGATGGGCAGGGGCCAGCAACTTTGTTCCATGCTGGCCTCCAGGTGAGGGCCTCACTCCATCTCGGGGCCGGGGGACCCAGATGAGGGGAAAGGAATCAAAGAGCACTCCTGTTTCTCTAGAATTTGGGCAGCCAGAGAGTTGACCCAACAGCGGGGGGTGGGGGCGCTCCCGGGGGGCTCCCGTGTTGACAGTGTGACATCAGAAGCGGGCAGGGCAGGGAAGGGCTCCGGGTGCATGGTGGCCGACTCGCCCTGTCCAGATGTCTGTGTCTGTGTCCTGAGTGGCCTCACCCACCCCTCCCTGCCATCAGGAGGGCTTAGCTGGTGCGTGCTGTATGAGGTGTCCGGGGTGTCTTCAGAGAATTGATGATTAGGCACAGGGAATACGTGATTTAAGATGACTTAGGTGTGGGTGGGGCAAGGCCGGGGGGTGTGGCTGGGCCTTTGGATGGAACATTTTGGAGATGGTGAGGCTGGGTCAGGGCAAACGGCAGGGAGGGCAAGGCCGACCCAGCCCTGGGTAGGTATGGCACCTCAGGGGTCATGGGGCCGGCCTGCAAGACCCCCCAGTCCCTCTCCAGCCCTACCCAGGCCCCGTGGCACAGCTGGCCAGGCCTGGAGGGGTCTGACCACTGCTCGCTGCTCTTGCAGCCCAGTCTTTGGACTTGGTTTTGAGGCTGAGAGAGCTGAGGAGGGTGTTCCCAGTACCCCTCAGTGGCTTTGGGGCAGCAGCTTCTTTGGGGCCAGGCAGCTATACAGTGGGCATGTTGGGGCTCAGGGGGATGCTTGGCCCAGGGTCCAGCACAGGCTTGCATGAGGCAGGCTGCCTTCCCTGCATCAGCCTCTGCCAGCCCAGCTTCCCCATCCAGACCCCACCCTCCACGGTTTCAGGCTCTGGGTTCCCCAGGAAGCCCTTACATGCCGGGTTTTTAATCACATGACCTGCACGGCTGAAGGGCCACAGGGAACATGTGCGGAAGGGGGTCATAGGGTGACCTGTCTTGTGTGAGCTCTCTGTCGGCCACTGGCCAGATGAGGAGGCATCCCTGTGAATCAGGGTGGGCCCTGCTGGGGGTGGGAGGGGCCCTTCATGTTCTCAGCCGCAGGCAGCATCACACACCCTGGGATCAGGAGGGGCCCCCGTCCTGCAGACCCTGCCTCAGCCCCTGGCTCCCCAGCCTGACCTGCTTCTGTCTTCCTCACCAGGGTCTGGATGATTATGGGGCGCGGGCCGTGAGCAGGTAAGAGATTTTCAGACTCGTCTTCGGGAGCTGTGGGCGGTGGGGAGCCGTCCCACCGGAAGCTGGAGTCGGGTGGTCCCTCTCCCAGGCCTGCTTGGTTGGGGCCGGGCTGGAGACCACAGTGTCTCCACTCTGAGACAGTGAGCGGGGCCTGGGGCGCCTGGTCTCTGACCCTCACCCCGCTGCGCCCTCCCCAGTCCGCTCTGTAGGGCATGGCCCTCAGTGCAGGATGCCCTGACCCCTGGCAGCAGCTGGGGGTCCCTGGGTATCGCCCGTTGTGGGAAGCAGCCCCTCCCGGAGCTGTCTTCATGCTTCCCTTGTGGGTGGGTGGGAGCCAGGCCTGGCCCTGTGCCCAGGCTGGAGCCAAGGACCCACTGCAGCCGCTCTCGGGCCTCTCATCTCTCCTGGGGAGGCCTCCGGGCTGCCCACCGCCACCGCGCGACCCCTTGGCCTGGTTGCTCTGCGGCCCAGCTCTTTCCTGGCGGCCAGGCAGGGGGCTCGGCTGCCCCCTGTGCCTCTGACCGGGGCTTCACCCTGGCCTGGGCTCTGGGGGTTCCCGCCCCTGCTCCCTGAGGGCCAGCTGGCCGGCCGCGGGGACGTGTGTGGCCCGGCAGCTGTCCTCTGCTTTGTTCGCAGCGGCAGCGGCACGCTGGTGTCCACAGTGTGAGGACGCTGACCGGGCAGCCGCTCGAAGAGCCCCGCCGCCCCCACCCCCGTCTGTCTGTCTCCATCGGTTTCTTCCTCCGCTCTCGTTGGTTTCTTCCTCGGTCGTTTTTCTTTCCCACTTGCCCCCTCCCCGCCTTTCGGTTGGTGACCCCAGACTCTGTGATCCCCCAGGGTCCATGGTGCTGCCCCATACCCGCTCCCCGTGTTTACACACCCGCCCCCCGTGTGTCCCGCCAGGCAGGGCCTGCTGCCAGGCGGCGCGGGCAGGGCATCCTCGCCGCAGCCCCCCTTCCACCGCCGTACTCACGACACGCTGTCCCTATTTGAAGGCTCACCATGAGCCAGGTCTAAAGTTTGAAGAAAAAGAAAAATTCAAAAAAAAAACAACAAAAAGATGAAAAACAGGAAAAGGACTTTTTTTTTTTCCTGAACAACAAAAACAGATATGCATGGACTCCGGTGTACGTACTGTTATCTCGCATCCGACCCCCCAGCGCACACTGGCACCTGTGTCGGGAGAGGGGGGTGCTGGGGGCTCCGAGAGGCTCTGGACCCCGGGGGCGCCCCTCCAGGCCGCACCCAGAGAGGGGCTGGGGCCAAGCTGGGGGGGGCCTCCTGAGGAAGCTGGCCGCTCCTGTGAGGGAGGCCCCGGCCCTGTCCGCCCACCCGCTGGGCCCCTGACGGCTCCCTGGTCCCGGACGCTGCTGAACAATGTGCAGACCAGAGTGCGGTGCCAGCCTCGGGCACCATGGCCGTGACTGCACAGGGCGCTGGCGGGGAGGGGGCCCGGCCGCACTCGGACATTCCAAAGACCTCCAGAGACCACCCCCGCCCCCACGTGTTCTGGAAATCATTTCTCTGACCAGCCCGTGACGGAGTGAGGGCAGCTCCGGGCGCCCCGCTGCCCCCCCACGCCTGCCCCGTCCTCCCTAAACGCTCTCGTGTGTCTCGGTGGCTTCAGAAGCAGACACGCTGGACCCAGTGGCTCCTGGTGTTGCCCTTCACGCCTTGAATCTGGGAAGTGAGTGAGGGCACAGCCGCTCCGCCCTTCCCACCGCAGGAGCCCCCGTGAAGCTGTGGACCTTTTTCTGATGTGATTTAGCCAAACCCTCCCGCCCCCTCCTGTGGACTAGGACGTGCCTGGTAGCGTGTGTGAGAGAAGCAGCTCAAGACGCAGACAGACCCTGTTTTATAATTTAAGGAGAAAACAAAGCCAGAACACGGACCTTTGTTTAAAAAAAAAAAAAAAAGAACCTTCTATGTTGGTGTTCTAATTTTGCTAAAAGATCTCAAATCCAGGGGATTCCATGCTCAATGGATGAATGTAGACACAAAACCGCAAAACTTGTATGAAGATGTAAAGTGCTGAAAATATTTTTCCTGTTTCCTTTCCCTTTTTTTTTTTTAATCTGAATTGTGCCCTGTACTGCAGTTGTTTGAATAAAAGTTTTATTTATTGCATCCAGTTGAGTGTGGCGCCTCCTTCCAGCCCTGCTGCATGCTTCTGGGCTGTGTGCAAGCCTGGCCACCTCACCAACAGAATGAGGTGCAGATAGCATTGGCCCACATGGCTCTCCCTGGGCGCAGCTGGGGAGGCCCCTGCCCCGGTGAGAGCCACGTGGGCTTGATCCTGGGATGCCCTCCCAGGGCTGGACAACCAGCTCCGCCCTGCGTTCAGTGGGTCTGGCTCCAGACAGCGTGCCTAACTGCCAGGAGCCCCCATCCTCCGTCCAGCTTGCATCCCCTCGGGGTCCTCAGCGCTCCCACCCCTCTACCTGCACCAACCAAGCCTTGTGTTTCCTTGCAGTGCCGATGTGGAAGTGGCCAGATTTTGAGCGGCCCCTGACTAGTTAGTAAGTTGCCCTGGTTTTCTTGTGCTGGTCAGCCTGTGTTCCCAGCAGCTCCGGAGACCCTCTGACCCAGGCCAGAGCAGGATCCGGGGTCTGCTGAGCCTGCCTCCGCTCTCGGCTCCGGCCTTCGCTTCCCTTGGACCTGTCCTTGGGCTCTCGGGTTTCCTCTCTCTGGAAGCTGGCGGGTCTGGCCTGGCCCTCTGTCTGGGTTCCCTGTGCCTCTGCTGGGTGCTTTGGCCACAATCGGGGTGGAGCCTGGTGATCAGCTGCCAGGCTGGCTTTGGGCTTCTTGGGCTGAGTGCCCTTCAGACCAGTCTCTGGGTGTGGATCTGAACCTGGCCTGGCTGGCTCCTGGGCTGGTGAGTATTAAAGCCCCTTGGGGGCTAGGGAGACCAGGGCGGGTCTGGGGACAGTGCCACGGCTGTGGAGAGAGCCACAGGCACGCGCAGGGGAGCAGGCGCACACCTCTGCCCGGCAGGTGGTGGCTCTGCTGTCCATCGTGCCCACGCGCACCTCCCCTCTGCCCTAACGTGGCCGAGGGGCTACGTCAGGCTTTCCAGCTTCCGCCCCAGTGGCCGCCTCTAACTCCCACCTGGTGATGGTCCTTTCCCTGGTGCCCCTGGAAAGCAAGCACCGGCAGCCAGGTGGGGAGAGCCCGCCGCTCTGGGCGCCTGTGCCTGGGTCAGGGCCGCGCTGCTCCCCCCGTCCCACCCCAACCCCGCTCCCTGGGAGGATTGCCGCGTGAAGCTGGCACATGGCCCTTTACAAAGATGGCGGTCCCTTCACCCCCTTGCTTGTCACCGTGATGCTGACCTCCCTACGGGCAGCCGGGCCACTCTAGCAGGGCCTGGACCCTCCCTCTTCTTTGCTGCCTTTGTTGGGTTTGGTTTTGGGTTTGGTTTTGGCCACACTGCGTGGCTTGTGAGATCTTGGTTCCCCATCCAGAGATCAAACCCAGGCCCCTGGCCCTGGAAGTGCAGAGTCCTAACTACTGAACCACAAGTAGTTTATCCGTTGTTTGGTGTTTATTTATGTTGCTACCCTTCTCCTGAGCTGCAGTGTAATTCCTGGATAACTGGAGACAAGTGCTCCTCAGATCGCAGTGTGGGGGGGAAATGACTTGGACGCCGGCTTAGCGTGAGCGTCCTGGGCCCTCCTCCCCCCTGCCTCTGTCCCTCCCGTGACGAGATGCTCTGAGACACCTGCATCTCCTGCCCCCAGCCGAGCAGCCCCCATTCTGCTGCCCTTGTGGTCCCTCTGAGTTATCAGGGCCCAGCAGATCTGCTCCCCTGGAGGTACTGAGAGGGGGTGAAGGCCCAGGGAGGCTGGTGCGGCATCTGCCTGGAGCGGAGCCCCGGGGGCACGGTGGACTGGGAAGCACACAGCACAGTGGCCGCGGGGCCTGCCTGTCCTGGTGGTTGTCCCAGGGCAAGGGTGTCACAAGGCACCGCTGTTTGGCTGCGGGACCTTGCTCGGCTTTGCCCAAGCTCACAGCTCTGGGGAAGAGACCAAATCAAGTCCAGAAGGGCCGACGTTCTGAAGCTGTGGAAAACACGTGGTAAGAAGAAAACATCTGGGCCAAGTTGGAATACGCGCTGTAACTCCTCCATGCCTCCTGCTCCGGAGTCGCTCCAGGGTACAAGCTGCACTTCGTGCTGCCTGGGTGTTCTCAGAACCACCCCCTTTCTCATTCAAGAAGTGGATTCAGAAGATAACCCAAGGCGGTTCCCCCAAATCCTCAGTGACCAACGTCTTCAGGAGGCTGGACCCGAACGCTGCTCGGCTGCAAGGGTCCCACCCTGTCAGGCCAGGCGGTCTGCAGAGGACTGGGCAGTGGGGACCAGGGGCAGGGGGCTAGCTCACTCCTGCCTTCACCACACCCAGGACTTCAGGCCTGCCCCCATCCAAGAATGCAAATGGATCCATGTAAAAGCTGCCGCTGTCCCCATGTCCCTGCTCAGGAGGGGGACAGAACCCAGCCCCTGCTCCTCTGCCAGAGTGCTTCATGGCCCTCCTTGGGGGAAGAGCCCTGGCATCCTGACAGCTCTGACCCTCGCACACTCTGACATCTCCCGTTTGGGTTAAGAGGTGCTTGTTCCATGTCTGGGTGGTCTGCTGTTGACTGGCCCCAGCATCCGCCCCTGGCCGTGACAGACATTTGCAGGACAGAAAGATCAACAGTGGCCCCAGTCCAAATCTTGTCCTATTTGGTCATCCCAGCATTGACCCCAGCTACCCACCCTGGGTCACTAAGGTGTCCTTGGAATGGCTTATAAGCTTGTTCTTTCACAGAATGTTCCAGAAGGTAGTGGGCACCCATGGGGGCCTTGCCCTTTCCTCTGGTGCTGAAAGGTAGGGGTGTCCCACCCCGGGGTCTCTGGCCAGGGCTTGCAGGAGAGAGTTGCTCCAGAGGCCTGGAGCGATTGCAGCCACCACCTGCTTCCTCTAACCTTGCAGGGTGTACACAGCACACGCTTCCATGGTCACACTGTTTTCCCTTCAGGGTGTACACAGCACACGCTTCCATGGTCACACTGTTTTCCCTGCAGGGTGTACACAGCACACGCTTCCATGGTCGCACTGTTTCGGGCAAGGAGATAAAAGACAGTGTGGCTCAGAGCCAGGCAGCCTCTTGGGGAAGATCTTCCTGCTGCAGGTGACAATGTGGGTTTGCCACCAATCCTTTTTTTAAATTAAAGTGTAGCTGATTTATAGTGCTGTGTTAATTTCTGTCATATAGCAAAGTGATTAATTTATACATATATATATTCTTTTTTATATTATTTTTCGATAGTTTATCATAGGATACTGCAGGACCTTGTTTATCCATTCTGTAAATAATAATTTTCAGCTGTTAATCCCAAACTCTGGACCCATCCCTCCCCCCCTTGGCAAACAACCACACCTCTGTTCTCTGTGAGTCTGTTTCTCTTCTGTAGGTAAATTCATTTGTATCATTTTTTTAATTCTACTTATAAGTGGTATCATGTGACATGTCTTTCTGATTTACTTAGTATAATTTCTAGATCTATTCATGTTGCTGCAAAATAGCATTATTCCGTTATTTTTTATGGCTGAGTAATATTCCATTGTATATATAATCATTTTTAATTCATTCATCTGTCAATGGACATTTAGGTTTTTCTGTGTCTTGGCTATTGTGAATAGTACTGCTGTGAACATAGGGGTCCGTGTATCTTTTTGAATTCCAGTTTCCTTGGGATATATGCTCAGGAGTGGGATTACTAGGTCACATGGCAACTCTAGTTTAGTTTTTTGAGGAGCCTCCATACTGTTTCCCATAGTGTCTGTACCAGTTTCACTCTACCATTTGTTATTTGTAGAGGTTGGTACCTCAGTGTAGTTTTGATTTGCATTTCTCTAATAATTAGTGATGTGTTGAGCATCTTTGCTCATGTCTCTCAGCCATCTGTGTGTTTTCTTTGGACAAACATCTACTTAGGTCTGTCCACTTATTGATTGGGTTTTTTTGCTGTTGAGGTACATGAGCTGCTCGTATATTTTGGAAGTTAAGCCCTTGTCAGTCACATCATTTGCAGATGTTTTCTCCCAGTCCGTAGGTTGTCTGTTTACAGTTTCCTTTGTGCAAAAGTTGGTAAGTTTGATTAGGTCTCATTGATTTGTTTTTGCTATTGCTTCTGTTGCCTTGGGAGACTAAGAAAACATTGGTATGGTGTAATGTCAGAGAATATTTTGCCTATGTTTTCTTCTAGGAGTTTTATGGTGTATTTAAGACTTTACACCATTTTGAGTGTTGTTTTTGTATAGGGTGTGAGGGTGCATTCTGACTTCGTTAACTTACACAAGGCTGGTCACCGACATTTTCTGATGAGACTGTAGGTATGTCGGGACACACTTGGCCAGCGCCCCCTTCTGCCCCCGACTCTGATCAGCACATGTGCCATCCTCCCTTCTCTGGGTCCCCACTTCTGCTGGGTCCCCAGCTCTGGATGGACAAACCTGCCCCACTTCTAGGCCCCCCGGAACCACCTGCCCTGACCCTGGCTGGGGACAGCCAAGGACATAGAGCCCTCCTCCAGGACCAGAGTCCCATCAGGGCAGCAGCCCCCATGGCTGCCTTGCACCCTGTCCCAGGGGCCATGACCCTGGTCACAGCAGAACTGCCAGGCAGTCCCTGCCCGAAGCGTATCTGCACAGACCAGAACCAAGGAGACCAGCAAGGCCCTGAGCGGGGAAGCCCGCGGCCCCACCAGCTGGGTGCAGATGTGCCAAGGCAGGGGTGCAACCGAGACCGGCGTGGGTGCTGCCAACTGTCGGGCAGCGTCTTGGAGACATGGAAGCCACGCTGTGCTGTGTCGGCCTCTTCTCCCTAGTTGTCCCTTAAACAGCTGAGTCCAATGTGCCTCAGTGTTTCAGAAAGTGCCAGGTCCTCAGGCGAACACGAGGGTGCCCCTCCTCGTGCTCCCTTCCTGGGCACCTGGATGGAGTGCCTGCCCAGCTCCCACGGACGCCCGGCCACGCCGGAGGCCACTGCCACCCCAGGTAACGGCTCCGTTCGTGCCGAGCCCTCCGTGTCCTCCGTGCCATCTGTGCTGTCACCCCGGGACTGCCTGCTGTCCTGTGTCGTCC